TATATATATATATATATATATATATATATATGTATAATTTATTTATATCTAACTAACTCGACACCTACTTAGTTATGTAGGAGCAGGTAATCTTTAATACTTTTAACTGTGTTAGTTTTACAGCTATTCTGAAAAGTGCCTGAAAATCTGTGGGCATTTTGATACTTTATGAGAAACATGGCTACAGGCCAGTCAATATACGCATTTTTCGCAAAATTTTTATATTGAATGTTCTCTTTGTAAAGAACAATGCTTTTAAATTTTTCTAGCATCAAGGGGTTTTTTTTATTTTGCGGTCACACTCAGTTTTGGGAACTCGGAGGTTTGGTCTTTTAAATTTTCTCAGTAGATATTCTGCTTAAAATTAGCGGGTAAAAGTCGGTGCACTTTTACATTTAATTCATAGTCACTTTCGCATGCATAAATAGCATACCAAATTTTAATTCTAACAAGCCATTATTTGTTCATCAAATTCACAAAAAACTGAACTTATATAAAACTGCTTATATTTTCCTCCTATTTTTGGCAAAAAGCGAAATTTATTTGCCATATTTCTTTGCAAGGGGTACAACGTACAGCGTACTAATCATCTGTTAACGGTCGCACAGGTCTCTGTTAAACGAAGTATTTCGAAAAAAAGTGACGCATTATCCGTTATTTCACGTCAACACTGTTACCAGTGCCGCCTTACTCTACAAACGATAGCAGTTTCTTGCACCTTCTGTACCACAACCAGTATTGTCGTGAAGCTTGAGTAGCGTTACCTGAGTTCAATTTACGGTCCTGGGCAGGAAGAATTTTTCAGTAGAATAATGTCAAAACTGCATTGGCAATAAAAACAGGTACCATGGCGGTAGAAAAGGCAATTAAGTAAAGAACTTTAAAAATTTCTAGCCCGGTATTTAGAATCTTTGTTCACTTCGTGCTCGGCAGCAACTCTGCAGTACGTTTAGTATTGAAACATGTATGCAGGAAAGATTTTCTTCCACAAAAACCAGACAGTTGTAGCTGTGCAGTCTAACTTAGAAAACCATTTTCCATATCTAACAAATCGCGTTAGATTCCAAACAACTCGTATGGAATTTGAGATTTAGTTAATTTATCCTGTGCTATTAAAATTTTATTGTTTCTTGAAGAATTTCTGTAGTGTTGTGTTTGTGTGAGAGAAAGTGAGGTAACAGTAAAAAACTACAGTCGTTAAGAAAGTTTATAATTTGACAGTGTTTTCAACAACTTCCCTGTTACTATTTTTGTTGAAAAAAGTATACAGAATAAAATTTTACAGTTTTTAAGGTGACTTCATTAATTATTGTGTCCTAATAATTAGTGGGCAGCGAATAAAAAGTTTTCAGTGATATATTTAATTTGTTCAACTTTAATTAGGGTTTTGCAGCGCAAAGGCAGCCACTAATAAAATTTGGACTTATACGCTTGTTCAGTTGGTTAATACAAGCTCATTTTCTTTTTTAATCTTTATAACTTAATTTATTCTCTGCTTCAGAGTTTGGCCAAGAAATAGAATGCCAAAAAAAGTAGCATCTGCCAGGCTTGTAGTATACTGCCCTGGTAGTTGCAAAATAAAAAATTTGTACAATTGCTTTGGGTTCTTCTGATCACCTGTCATAATATTTTTAGACTAATTTTTAATAGAAAAAAATTGGCACTATAGAACTGCATTAGTGTTGTTTGCATTTTAAACCGAGTATTATTGATAAATCTAGGGTTCATGACTTTCAAAAAACTTCACTTTTGAATCGGTTCTTATACTAGTTGATTGCTATTGCTGTAACTGCATATTGCAGAGGTGCCAAACTATTCTGCAAAATTTGATCCACAGTTTATTCACATATATCATTAATCTGTATATATATACCATTTCTAAGAAATCGTTAACAATAGTTTTTATTAAGCGGTCGACTGCAGTAAGTTGAGCCTTTTTTACTTTGGAAATACTTATTCAATTTTAATTCTTTTTTTTTTTTAATGAATAACTGGTAAAACTAGATTATGATAAAATATGTTTCCAACTTTTGAGAAATTCAAGTGAAATTAATTTAAAATTATTGATCATTGCTTAATATCCATTTAATTCCTTCAAATGAGACATAAATTTGCCGGTTTTGATTAAGGCTTAACTGGCTACTCTATAAAGTTTTCTTTAGTCACTCAATCACTTTACAAAAAAAGATCACAACTTTTTTTTTACCTATGAAAAAACTCGTATCCTCGAAAAAGTAACAGAACAAATGGTATACAAACTGATAACGATTTAGTCAAAGTGGAGGCTTTTCGAGTAACTGGAGGATACAGTTGGGTGGGCGTATAAACTCGTGGCGTAGTGCAACAGCAACCTTGTACGCAGACCCAGCTGACGTTGTAGATTTGGCAAGTGACATCTGAGGTACATCCGATGTTCACACTCATTCCTCCATTGATACATATTGGATAGTATATGCATGCTGAAAAAAAAAAACCATTTATGCAACTTTGTATTTTGTATCTAACCATCTTTTCTTAACAGTATTGACGGCAATAAACATCATAATTTACAAAACTAATAAGAATTTCACAAATTATTGTTAGTGTGCTTTACGCTGTTCGACATCTGCAGTTTATTTATCCTCATCAGTTCTAATTTCTACAATGTTTCATTCTTTTAACTTCTAATGCTTGTTTTTCTGTGGTTAAGAGGGAGCAACCAGATAAGGTAAAAGCAGTAAAGGACAAAAACAAATGTCATTTTTTTCTATTCTCTGTCTTCCAGTTACCAACTTCCAGTCTCGGGTTGTTAAATTAGCGAAGAACGAAATAGTAACGATGCTTTCAGTCTTATTGTGCTTGATTCGTTTTCAACTTTTTAGACGCTTCTTTTTTAAATTAACATAAATTTTTACGCAAAAAAAAAAGAAAAAGAAAATCACAGTAATTAATCAATTGTTTTCCAGTGATAACTCTAAAAATTAAAAATTTAATTTTCCCATCAGAAAGTAACTTTTGCATTGTTCAGAGTAAACTATGAAGCTGAATAATAAAATGCTGTTTATACGAATAAAAGTGTACGCTTTGAACTGTAGATAAAAGTTTACAGAGAAAATGCATAGGAATATAAGGTTTACAAGTTACTGGTCAATGAAATAGACCACTGCATTTATTCAGATATTTTATTTTACACTACAAATACTTTTTAATCTGTAAATAATTTAATATACTCTGTCAAGCTGACATTTGATTTGAACAGTTTTTTGAAAATTTTTAAGAACTTTTTAATTGTATTTTTGAGAACAAATTTACCAGTTGAAGCAAAAAAAAATGAGAGCTTCATTTGGCAATAATGTTAGCCTAATATGGACTTTCGGCAATAAAGTTTATCTTCGTATTTCGACAGCGGACTATGTTAAAGCTGAATAATCAAAGCACAGAAGGGATAGCGTACGGTTACCGATAGAGCAAATATATTCCTATATATATATATATATATATATATATATATATATA